TGGTCTGAAAATATAATTATTTAAGTATGATTTTTAGCTTTACTTGTTAGTCGTATATAATTTTGAATAAGAAGAATTAATAATAAGTCAATAGTCGAATTGCTTCAATTGAGCATCAACGATTCGATTCTTATCTTTACAAGGAACCAAGAAGCCTATCCTTAAAAATCTGAAATTCATATAATTTCTAGTTAGGCTAGGAAAGAACAAGGATGTAAGTTTGGCTTCTTGTAACGATGCAAGGCTGTTTAAGGTTTATTTCTATTTCCTAGCCTAACTAGAAATGCTAAGCGCTAATTGCTAATCAATTATCTAGAATATTTTGGGGAATATCAAGAAAACTGGCAAAGAAGGGGTTCATGAAACTATAATATTTATGAAATGCATGTGGATGATGGATCTTAACGAATTCACTCCAATGGATTCCTATTTCTTAGAGGAAATAAACCTCTTTATCATTAAAAGCAAAATTCTGTGATGATTTCGGATTGTGATTGTCGGCTTTACTTCCATCCTCAAATATTCCTCAAATCCTTCAAGATTTTCTTATCTAATCATATCAGTGAAACTAAAATCATATTATTCGTTATTTAAATCAATTATTTAAATCAATTATGAAATTTTATATTCGTCGGGAAAAAATTATATAAATAAATAAAAAATAAGCTATAAATAAATAAAAAAAATAAATGATAGCGTTTAAAAATTCTTTCTCCTCTCAATTCGATTTTATCATAAATAAATAATGGATAAACTTATCAAAATTCTAGTTTTTTTTCCAGCTTTCATGATTTTTTAAAAAATTTTTAAAATTTTTGTTATAAAAGATACAAATGGTGTGGTTTATTTACAATTTTCCACTTGCACCAATCGTCATTTCTATGGTAAATCTTGTTTGCTGTACTTTTTATGTATACACCTTAGCATAAGGGATAAATGGCACAGTGGGTTATTGGACAATTTGGAGCACCGAGACTAAGGTTCTATTCCCCACAGGAGTAAACCTGCTCAAAAATTCGGTGATATTGGCTCCTATCTTCAAGGATTGTGGTTGACAAGGATTGGATTCCCTAGCATATTTGTGTAGTGCGATAAACCAGTGGAGCGAGTCTAATCAGTAATGATGAGAGAAAAATATATCTTAGCATAGTTATTAATCTTTGCACCTTCATTTGCACCAAAAAAAACCCATTTCGACTACAATTTCACCAATATTTCATTTCATGCATCATGCATTAAAACGCAAACTTGGTAGTCCTTTAAATGATCGAAACATAATCAATATTTTATTTTTATTTGAAATGGCAACAGAGGTCATAGCCCTCAAAAGGCCAACGCTATTAGAAAGTGGATTGGAACTAGTCCAAAGAAAAAATGATTTTCGCCTTTAGTACCTTCAAAGGATGAGGCAAACCAAGGAAATGGTACCAGTAACTTGATAAAATAGTCAGCAAAAAGATATAGCGATTATCATCAGCCTAAACCCATAAATTCAAATCTCCCAGACATGAACTTTTATTTATTTTTGAAAGTAATTATTTCGGAATTAAAGGTAGAACGTGAGTTAAACGTGTTATGAGCTGGTCAGTCAGCTGTTAAACAAACAATCCTTTCATCAATTCTTGTTCTTTCAATAAGCAATAAAATTCACCAATTCTTATTCGGCTTATTCCAGTGGTAATGATGTTGAACCACCTTCACCAGAGCCACTTAGGGACAAACGTATCATCACGAAGCACTTCGGTAAATCTCCGGCAACGTGGATGTCATTGTCAATAACACGTTTGCTCTCACCAAGGTGCATACACAGGAACCGACCAGTTGTAATGGATTATTTTTCGATTAAAGTAACCTTATTAAATTTTTGCTGTTGTTTTGTGTTATATTCGTTGAGTGTGCCTTTAGTCGCGAACGCGGTTGTGTTAATAATCAATTCACTTTTTTTGCACCAAATTCTTTTTTTATCACCATTATTCTATAAGTATGAATAAGAAAATAATTCACCATTTCACCATTTCTAGTTGAACTCATTCCGCTGCTGGCTATTAGTAAAAATTTTTCCAGAGCGTACCATTTTACTAGTTAGAAATTTAACAGATGGAGATCGCCCAGCATTACTCGAATTTTCCCGAAGTTTATTCAAAAGGTAGCAACCGAGAGTCGCAAATTTTTACCCTCCTTAAATTTTTACTCCCCACTGAGAATATATTTATAAACACCTTATGCCACCTATATACCACCGTAAATATATATATATTTACTTATATAAATACATTTAATTAAAAAAATTCTCCAATTGATACTTTTTAATAAAACTAGCAAAATGTAAACGTTCATATTTTAAAAATTTCGTGGTCTCCAGAAAGTCTCTCTGGATGAACTCTTTGAATGTTTATTGTTATCAATGATGATCAACTGATTTGACCGATTTAACTGATTGACTAATATTTAACTACAAACTAAACAATGCTATCAATTATCTTTTCTTTATATAAGTTTATAGGAGATGATAAATAAAATCATAAATCATCATTTTTAAATAATTATATTTTTAGAAATAAATAAATAAAATATAAATATATATTTATAAATACATAAAACTTAAATATTTTATAAATAAAATCTTTTTTTAAAATTATCATTTATCATCATTTATCACCTCACTTATCTTCTGTACTTCCATCACTATGGTGAATTCTGTGGTGAAATGATCCTAAGATTTAATGGAATTAGTTGAATCACTAGCAGAAATGGTGAGTGGAAGAAGGCGAAAAGATTGTTTAATTTGGAAAAAAAATTTAATTATTTAATTAAAAATTTGATTTCAAATTTTGTTTATTTTAATTTCTATTTTATCCGTTTTTTAACGTTTTCGATAAAAAATTTAAATAGGAAAAATTTTTCGTTAAAAATAAAATTTTAAAAAATAATTTAATAAATCAAAAAATAAAAAATTTCTACTGGAATTTATATTTAAATATGAATTTGTATTGAAATATAAATATTTATTTAAATACAAATTTATAAATTTAAAATAATAATAAATAATTTAAATAAAATTTAAAATAATGATAAAAAATAAATTTATATTTAATTTGTAAATTAGCGATTGCAACATTTCTGGCTAGATTCTTCGCTTCATTTCATTCCTACGATGGAAAATTTTTGCCAGGAAAAATTGTGAACTAATGTCGAAATGCCAGCATGTTTGCTGAAATCGAATTTTGACTGGACGAGAATTTCGTCGACGGGAATCGAAATCTTTCAGTAATTTTGTTTCTTAATAGTGGTAATAGAATGTACTGCATAATAATTAAGTGATAAGAAGTTTGCGAGCTGAGAGAGTGAGTGATTAAAAGAGCGATTTCACGCATTTGCGTCAAATCACGTGAAATACTTGGTACTCATCGCTAGCAAAATCGATAATGGTTTTTTTTGAAGAAATTTTGTAAAAATTTTGAAAAGATTTTATCATTTTTTATTGTTTTCAAAAACAATTATATTAGTGCATTTTAATAATATTTCTTTAAATTATGTCACTAAATTAAAATAATTTTTGAACGTTCATTTTTTTTTGATTTTTAATCATTTCGAAGTACAAATCTAATCAATTTTTTAGTGTTTTTCTCACTGGTTTAAATTTTCTATTTTTATGATTATATATTTTTTTCAGAATTTCATTCATTATATTTTTGATAATTTTATCAGTTATGATAATTAATTATCAAGCGACTATTGTTAATCCACTTGAGAGTTGAGTGTTTTCAATTTTTGCTGCTTGACGAAATCCGAGTGTTACCGTTGACTTATTCGTAGTTTTATGCATAATTTTTTTTGTGACTCTGATAAAACTGACAATTAGTAAAGCAAATAATATTAAAAGAAAACTTTGTGGCCACCATCGATGATAAATACTGGAAAAACATGTTGATAATTAATTAATTATGAGATTTTTATTTGATTTGTTGAATCCTGTTGCGGGCAAAAACTAATTAATTTAAAATTTAACAATATTGCACTTTAATATATCTTCAACAATCGAAAATGAAATTTTCGCTTGTTATCAGTGCTTATCACTTATTTATTATGCAATATATTTTTTAATTATTTATTGATGGATTAAGTCAATGAATGGCTTAAAATCCACAATGATTTTTTTTGAAATTACTCTAATTATCATTTCATCATCTCCTTATCATTTCGACTTGTCAACGTTGAGACGTTGCTGCTCTGGCGGAAATCATTTTAAAAAAAAATCCATACGGGTGGTGGCAATTCCAATCATTAAATGATTTTTTAGCAAAAATTTCTAAATAGTACCAATAGCCAGTGAAGAAACCCATCTTCTTGTACGTCAATTACTATAATGACGTAATTTCATGGACGTCATAATCTGACGTGTTTTCGCCTTTCGGTTGCGTGATGACAACACTTATTCGCCTTGACGCGAAACCTCACGTACTACTACTATTTTTATATGCCCATGCCGTCATTAACGGTCAATAATGGTCATCGTCATGATGATCTTTGATCACCAAAAGCAGTGGAATAAGAAGAAGGCGGAGACTGGCAATGAGCCAACTCGAGTACGCATTGCGTTTATTTTATTGACGCATTTATTGAACGAGTGGTTGCGCGTCAGCGGTGGTTGGTTGTGTGGGGGAGTCGTTGCCGGCCGCTCTTACTATTATTCCATCTTACTCTTTGACCTTTTGGTGGAGGAGGGAGGTTTCTAGGATTAGAAATATAGGTTGAGGATCGTCTAACTGATAATGGTATCTACGAAACAAACATTGTAAATTTTTGAATAAATATACAATTCCTGATCGATATATTGATTTCAGTTGCGTGTGCTGCGTCTTAAAGATATTTCTATAATCACTCATTTACCGGCGCTTTCTTTTTTTTTTTCGAAGAAATTGGTTTATTATTATTAAAGGCGAATAGTAATTATTATTATTACAATTACAATAATAATAGTAATTATTATTATTGTTATTATGTATACTGGTGAAGATGACATTGATGGTCCATTGGAGACGAATCGTTTAATACAAGTGTCATGTGAGAAAATTGTTAATTCAAGAAATGAACGAGGTGGTGCAAAATTACATCGAAATCTTATGATTGTACATTTAATAAGGAAAGCGCGATCGCATACAATGAGGTTACCAAATTTATTTAATTTTTAACTCTAAGTTTGTTTTTTTATATAAAATAATTATAGAAAGTTTATATGAAGCAGATTTCCTTAATTAGTCAGTTAGTTTACTAGTTTAAATATTGGTTTGGTGAATTTTAGACTTTTGTGGGATTCTTTTTTTTTTTGCCTTGCAATTTTGCTTGATTTAAATTTTTTCTATTCGAAATTTGCATAGCATTTTCATTTAAATTACTTAATAATTCATTTGAAATTAAAAATATTTGAAATAATTGGCCCTTAATTGAGTTGTCATATTCATTGCTAATTAGGTATTATTTCGCAATCTTTTTTTTATTAATTTTATTTAATTTGATTTTTTAATAATTTTTGTATATTTTTTATATTTATCTATTATTTTACCTCTTAGAAACTCAAAATATTAGAAAAAAATAGTTTCGATCTTATTAAATCCTTTTTTTTCTAAAAATATGTGGAAGCAATAATAAATATTGCACTTTTTGTTAGATCAGCTGTTGGATATCCATATCCAAGTTGTGCTGAGGCGAATTCCTTTGTTTATGGTTCACCATCGTCGGATATTTATCAAAACAGTTCGGATTGTCAGAGTAATCCGTCGTGTTATTCGGGACAATTGCGTAATGCCTCTGAACATTTATATAACGCTTATAACAGGTTTGTTGCTTTTTTTAAAAAAAATTTTGTCGTTCATATGGAATGATTTCAATTCAATGATTTCGGAAGGCATTTTTGCTAATATTTTCCTTCTCAAATTTTGCATTTTTGTAATAATCGGAATGTTTGTTCATTAAAATGGACGAGGAATAACTTTTTTTTTAAATATAAACACTGTAGACACTAAGTAATAAATCGCAGTAACTAAGTTTTAATTGGCAAAATTTTCATTATGTTTTATAAATCTCTCAAGATTCATTTTTTTCTCGATATAGTTGGAATTAATTGAAGTAAATTTATAAGATTATTATGGACATTTGCAGAAAATTTGTAAAAAATTTCATATAAAGAATTCGGAAGTTAATTGTGTAACATCCGAAATTTTTGAAAACTATATCGAGAATCCGTTTATCCAAGTTGTTATTCAAGTACATCGTAATTTTCTTTCAAAAATACATAATTAAGAAGATAAATATATACGGAAATATAAAAATTTATTAGGATTTGTGAACAAATATTGTGCCAAGTAATGTGATAATAGAGTTTATAATATAATAATTATAATAGTATTATAATAATTTATCCATTTATTATAACTGAATTACAATTATTTATCCAGTCCAAATAATTTCATTTAATATTTAGTATAGCACGAAGAATCTCTCTAAAAAGTTCTCCGTAAGAATGGTGCTGAGTAGCAGGATCGTTTTCCTGATTGGTTTTTTATCTATATTTTATCGATAATGGAAATTCTTTAAAATTTTTGAAAATTAATAGATTCGGTGATTCATATATTTTAGTTATCCTTTAAGTGGAAATAATTTCCTTTCTTATTTTTGAAGAACTATCTAACTAAAAAAAATAAAAAGTGGTTATTTTTTTAGTTGGTTCGTGAAGTTTTTAAAAAATATTTTTTATTTACTTTAGAATCTAGAGGTTTCATAGAAAAACTGGTTTTAAGCTTTCGAGCTCTTTTTGTACTTTAAATGAATTGATAAAAAAGATTTGAGCATTTCAGCTAACGTGTGAATCGTGTAAATTTTAAAATTTTATATTGTGAAGTAGTGTTGGAGTTGATTTTATTGTTTTTGAGCCTTTGGAATTTTTTCGTTTCTTTATTTTAAGTTTGTTTATTATTTTAAGTTTATTATTATTTATTGATATTATTTTAGTTCGCATTACGGACATTCCGAGTTCAGTATGGAACTTTCCGATGAAATGGATTATGCCATACCGCTTGAACCAATCAAACTGCGTTTCGTTGGTAATGAAGTTCCTATGGAATCTGGCGAACTTCTCGAATTAAAGCAAAGTGAAGTTCCAAAAAATGGCAGCTTATTATATGGAGAACAACAAACAGAGATCTCATCTGTCCAGATGTCTTCCTTACCTCATTTTGGCGATGAACTTCAGCAGTCAACAAGTTATTTATCTGAAAATATTGAGGAAGTCAGAGAACTACCAGCCGCAGAAGATGATAATGGTTGTTTCGTCGATGATGGCGATGATGAAGAGACCGAAGAATGCCAATTATCTGAAACTTCTGGTAGGCGTAAACGAAAAACGTCTATGACATGTTTAGCAGCAAGTGATTCAAGTTCAGCGAAGAAATGTTGCGTGGAAGAGCATCAGTTAACCGGGTTAATATCAGTTTTTAATTCAGGCCTTACTGTTGTCGCAGATCAAATTCTGCCACGGACACCAGCAGCGAATCTTCTTCCTCCAGCTTCAGATCAGATTGTGCCCTCACTCATGCACCTCGCTTGTAGTCCACTTATTTGTAAATAGATAGTTTTTTAAGTTTTCCTAGTATTTTTTGGTTCGGAATTCGCAAAGTAGTTTTTACAAGCCGTAATTCGATGGATGATTTTCAAATGATGATGAATGATGAAATTCTCGGCTATTTAAAGGTGGACCATGTTTAAAAGATAAATTTATGATTTTAATTTTCCATTTTTTAAATTGTTTAATTTAGAGGAAGGGTGGACTGGCTTCGAGGATTTTAAGATCTAATTATTCATTAAAAAAATGAAGGGCTTTAGGCATTGCTAGACAGTATTATTTGATAAAAGTTAAGAAAGGCTTCTTATTGCTTTAATTATCTTTTTGTACACCACATTGCTCAGATGAACCTGTTCAAGAAATGAAAATGCATTTATTGTATTTATTGATCGTGATCGAATCATTCTTATGAGCAGTTGGTCTTTTTCGCATTTATTTCCGAATTCTACAAATTCACCTCGGACTTGAATCTTTTCGAATAATTCTCCGAAGAACATTTTGTTTGTTTTACTAATGTATCTAAAATGAAATTATCAAAACAAATTTACAGAGTTTGTGCTAATAGTGGGTTTTACTTATTTATCATTTTTAATGTACGTTTTTCATTTTTGATTTGTTTGTTATGATAAGCTTTTTTATTTCGCTATGGAAATAAAATTAACGAAATTTATTATTGTCGCGCAATTTTCCATTGATCTTTTCTGGTCTTCTTGGCCAAATATGGTTCAAAAAACTAATTAATTCGTCCTTTTTTTAAATTTTGCAAGAATTTTTTAATTTTATTGTGGATTTTTTGATTCGATTATTATAAATTTTTTTTAAAATCGAGTTTATTTGTTTCTTTTTAAATTCAATCGGAACATTTTTTTATTTAATTAGAAAATTATTAAAAATTTTAAAAATTGAAAATAATTTTTTAAATGGGCGGAACAGTTTTGACAGGTCATCTTTGTACTTTTAACGTGATTTTTACTCGAAATTTTTCACAAATTATATTTATTCAATTTTTAAGTTTGCAAATGGAAGATGTTCGTGAAAATGTTGGAAATTTTCACAAGAATCGTATAAGAGATTTGCATTCACAATTTTTGTTACGTTGAAAGGCATGAACTGGTTTAATTGGATGAAAGAATGGAATGAAAATTGGCAGCGAGAAGAACGAGTTGTAGAATTCGAAGCATGTTTCGTTCGCATAGAATTTCTCTAATCGTAAATCGGCATTCTACAATATCTATGATTTTGTTCAAGATTATTTATTGATTTATCGATTTAAGTGAGGATTTTCTGGATATTGCTGAAAGAAATAGACGAGGAAAATTAGAAAACTGGATTGGTTGTTGCAATTAATAAGTGGCGAATATCGGCGCGCGCAATTGTCTTAACTATCCATTGAATGTCTATAAAGTTGTAAATAAAAAATCGAAAAAAGAAAAAAATCGAAAAAATCATACTCGTTTTATTGGCACAATGAGCAAGAATTTTTGCCAGAAAACCAACCAGTTAGCAAGAGTTCACTTGAATGGACCAATGTCAATGGTATTTTTTTTAACGAAAAGTTGAGAATGAGAATGAGAATTTATGGACGACACTCGAGGCGATAAATAACCGAGCGCAGTTTAGCCATCTATGGAAAAGATTTTGTCGATTTTCTTCGATTGTGGAGAAATCATGAGTACAGTGCTCGACGAGTGCAAGCCTAGTTATGAGAACCGAGGTGCAAGCAGTAGAAATGCAACGTTAAAGGTTCAATTATATTTCTCTATCCTTGAGTGATTTTCTGGCGAAACGATATTATATTAACAGCTTGTGCAACTGAATTACATTTAAAATAGAGTATTATCTACACTGTTTGCTAAATTCTTGCTACACTAAATTCTATGATGAATGGCGTCAAAAATGGAAAGGAATTTTTAAGGACTGGATCGATACAGTTAGAAGAGATTTGAACTCTTGGGCCATCCAGGCGGCCCAACGACATATATGGATTGAGATGATGGAAAAAGGAATTGTTTCTTTTAATTTCAAGCATGGCGTTGGGTCAGACGATTTCGATATGCCTTAGCCATGTATCTAGCTGAGCTAGCCTTACCAAAAATGATGTGAGAAGAAGCCAGTGGAACGAGCCAAATAAGCAGAAATAGTTAAAATCTTAATTGGAAGAAAAGAAATATTATAAATAGGGTAAAAATAATTTAGTAATTTTATAAAATTATTTTCTAATTATATAATTATTTTTCGGAAAAATATAACAAAATTACGACTTAGTTGATTGAATGTTGAAAAGAAACCAATTTTTTACAAAGAAGGCAAATAATTTTTTTTTTATTAGAAATTAACGAATTTATATTAACGAATTTATATACGTCAGTTTTGATTCAATAAATAAATACAAATTGAAAGATAATTTCAATCTGAAATTTTTTTTTCTTTAAATAAAAGTTTTTCTTTGAGAAAAAATTTCTTTTTTTAATTTTATTTTATTTAATTTGGTTTGTTGAAACGATTTTTACAACTAACGAACTGAAAAAAAAAAGAAAAATTTAAGGGGAAATTCTTTGACTAACGCATTAGTCAATTTAAACATTTATCCATGAAAAAAAATGAGTTTTCAAAAATAAAAATTTTCTCAATTTGAAATTTTTTCACCAAAATTGTTCAAATAATTATGCAAGTGATAAACTGAAAACGTTCTTTTAATAGTTAATAAATTCAAGAAATTCTATTGAAATACTGATATTAATCAGAGTGCTGATAAAATATAGAATATACTAAAGTGATCGTGTGATAAAACCTCATTGCATCGACTAAGGTCGTAGCTCCAATTTTTATCTCTTTACTATTCTTGGAAATATATCTAAAATCGGAAATTTGGATGGGTGAGGCGATTCATTGTCGACCGTTCAGTACCATAAGCGATTTATGAAGTGAATAAACTGGATGAAATATTTCTTAAGATTTTGCTCATTTTTTTTTGTTTAGTCTTTTCAATGGCATATAAATCTAAACTTTATCAATATCAAAAGTGATGGATAAATTCGCTAAATCTAGAGAAAAAAAAACATCGAGAAAGCATATAAAATATAAACGGTAAATATATAGTAAGTAACTTAATTTACCACAATAGTACTACAAATATATTTGTACAAATGAATAAAAAAATGAAAAAAATGAAAAAATATCAGTGAAAAATGAATTAACACATTATGATAAAAAAGAAATGATAATCATAATCAGCAAGAACAAAAAAAAATTTCAAAATATATTTCGCGAAATACTAAAAAAATGCTCTTTAATCAATCAATCTTTTTAATATTAATATTTATCAATATTTAACTATAAATTTAACTAAAGATTTTTGGCTTTTATTACTATCATATCATTTGTAATCAACTATTTGAGCCAAACAACTAAGTTAAGACGAGTAATGGCGAGATTTATTAGAAGAGGACGAAAAAAGAATGAACGATACCCGTTATGTCTAAACCAGAAATACCCTTTTAAACAAGCGAAATAGTCACACATGCATATTTCCGCAAATAACGGGTAAGTAAGCATAATATAAATAAAAACAAATAAATAAATAAATAAAATATGATAATTAATAAACGAGAAAAATTTATAAAATTTTGAAATTCAAAATTATCACAATCATTGATAAGAAAAATTTGCCATAAAATTACAAAAATTACAAATAGTACAGTGAAATTATTAAAATAATTCTTTTTTTTCTCTCTTTTTGCCCAATTAAGAAATATTATTTAGCGATTTTTCTTTCATTTGAAGAGCTTTTTCATATATATAAAAGAGGGTCAAGAAATTTGTAAAAATAGCTTCGCGTTTATAGCCATTGGGAACATATCTAATCAGTAATGATAGGAGATATGGTAGATTGAATTTATCGAAAAAAGACAAAAAAATAAGAAATTTTTATCATTCATCTTGTTTTATTAGCATTAAGATTATACTAATTTTCAAGCGAAGCCAACGAATGCTATTTATCATAGAGAATGTTTATGCTACATATGTCGTTTTATCGTAATCTTCTCTTATCATTTCTTAAATTTTGAAAAACAACTGATAAATGGAAAATTATCATCTGTTTAAATCTTCTATATTCAAATATTCTCTTATAGTACCTTTAATCCTTTAACCACAAAACCATATACATATATATAAATAAAAAAATCATTTTTTTGTAAAATTCGATTTTCATTCGTTGAATTGAAACCGATTGATTATTTAGATTGAAATGTCAGTTGATTAAAGTTGGAATTTAAGAAATTGTGCGGGGCAAAACGAAAATTTAAGGAAATACTTGGAAGAGCTCAACAAAAGTATTTATTGTACAGTTGCGGTTGACGTTGTCGTTGCTGCATTCAATTTATTCAAAACATCATCAGGAACATGTTCTTTGAGAATGGAATTTTCGGCTTCCAGTTGTAGAATCTATTAATAATAATAATAGTAATAATAATAATATAATAATAATAATAAATGATAATAATAATAATAATAAATGATAATAATAATAGTAATAATAAATAAAATGATAGAAAAAATAATAGTAATAATAATAATACTAATAATAATAATAAATTATTTAAAAATATTATGGAATATTTTATAGTTGAAAAAAAAAGTAAGTAAGTAGTTAACATTCGGCAACTCATCTCGCTGACATGATTAGAAATTTTTTTACTAACGAACCATTTAACGATAGAAGTACAGGTGGATCACCTGCACATCACCTATCCCTGCTAATGATAGATTGATTCTTGTTGGAGCTAAAAGTCGAAGCACAGTGGCACCTCTGGAGAAAAGAGATTTATGCTTAAATATAATTTACATAAAATTAATGATGGTGATAAAATTCTCGATTCTACTAGTTTTCATCGTATAGAAGTGGAATGGCCGAATGGATATATATTATTGCGACTGAAGCCATAGGCTTTGGTGAGGATAAGATAGGTGACTTGCCCGATCTCTATCTATCCCGAAGTGCCCCTTCTGGCCCTTCGCTATTCCAGTCTAAATAGTTAGCGAATACAGTTCAACCAAAAATAAGCGCTGTTTATTTAACATGAAGAAAATAAAACGAACAAACCGTTGCCTCTAATTCGATTATTTTCGCTCTTAATAGTTCAACTTCTTCTCGAACAGCGAACATTAAATGTGTTTTTACCAAATCCTAAAATTTATATAAAATTTATAAAATTATTTAAATTAAAGAAAAAAATTTGAAATGAAAAATTCCTTGAGATTAAAATTAAACCAACAAAAAAAAGCAATGTTATGGTCTTTTAAAAGAAATTATAGATCGAAGTTCGTAAAAACTAAATCTTGTATACATATTATGGATCCGTCAAGCGGATAAAATATCACATAATCGCATCTATCTTTGTTCAAATACCACTTGTATAAATAATGTTGTAATGTTATAATAATATTATAAATAATGTTATCACAGAGAGAGTCGCCTGCGCTGGTTAGGGCACTTTCTCCGTCGTCCACCACAGGAGTTGACGCATATTTCGTTACTTGCGAAACCGTGTGATGGTTGACGTGGGCCCATCAAGACCTGGTCTAATACGATTAGGAAAGATTTTGAACGCACCAGCAATATGTGGACTTAGATGATGGAAAAAGGAATGGCTTCTATTACTGTCGTCAGGCATCAGACCGCGCCGCTTGGAAGCGCCTTACCCAACTAACCGCTGGAGCCAGCCTAACCAGTAATGAGAGCTGTTAGAAGAAGAAGCAAAAGCTATAAGAAATCCGAACTAACCATTGCTTGTTCAATTTTACTATCTATTGCAACAATTTGTGTGGTACCACCTGGACCCGATGTAGCAGTGGAGCTGAAATTCAACAATAACTATTAGATTATTGAAAATTCGCTAAATTAAATTGAGATAATCTAAAATACATTTATTGAAAATATTGCAATATTTAAAAAATATTTAAAAAATAGATTGAAAGCATTTTGTAAGTACCATAGAAATAAGTTTTTTTTCTAGCACATTTAAGTAAGAAAAAATAATTTTTTTTTTTTTAAATTTATTCGATGCATTAAGAGAATTCTTTAATATTTTAGAAAAGGAACGAACGATTTCAAATTCTTTAACGATATATTTATTATTTTCAAAGCAAATAAGTAAATAAATAAGTAAAGTACCTTTCTTTAATCATTCAATTGTTAATTTAAATTTAACCTATTATTACATATTTTATTATAAAACGACAAATAACAAAAATTAGTGAAGCAATAAAAATAAAGAAATTTGTACTTTAAAAATTCAATGACCTAAATTTTACATCCCATTTTTAGCGGAAAACAATCGAATTTCGTTAAGTGAAAAAAAGAATTTCAAATCTAAGAAGAATTTTAAAAAAAAAATGAATAGACTAAGAAAAAGGATGAAAGAAAAATGGAGAAATTTGGAAAGATAGGGGGCAAATAATTTCACGTCGATTTAATCCTTCTATTAACGTTATATCAATTAATTGGGATAGCTGACTATAATTTTATTTTATCATCATTATCACTATTATCCCTATTTATTTTATTAATATTATCATTATTATCATTCTTTCTTATTTTATTATCATTATTATCATTATTTCTTACTTTACCTACTTTGTTACCATTACCATTATTATTATTTCTTATTTTGTTATTTAGCCATAATGAATCAAAAAGTTCATTTCCATAAAATAATAGATTTGAAGAGATAATTAAGGAAATCAGGAAATCCTTTCAAAATTTTGATGAATAATATAGGATTTCATATGAGTAAAAAATAGATAAATCAAATCAAAACCTATATCTTCGTTTGGCCCAAAGTAAAGCAATATCAGAAATTCCAATGCGATTGGAATTCTGAAGTTCATATTTTAGCGAATATCTCCGACCAATCACCATATCGCAATCACAGTTCTATGAAAATAGTGCTAACAGTTCGATAAAATGAAAATACCTAACAACTGTCGTTGTTTCTAAACATATTATTGGTTCAGTCTCATTAACACACTGGTTGGATGTAATGCTAATTCGCTTATTTCCAATCCGATTATTTTTTTTCTACTTTAGCGAATAACATTGGTGTTATTATACGAAGAGTCTCTGATAAATCTGATTAATCCTAACTGGAGTTTCAAAAACCAAATTGTCAATGGTATTGCCGCTCGCATATTACTTTCCTCACTACTTGTGGTTAGGCTGGTTCACTTAGCTATAAAAATAAGACATTTCCAAGCCACTCTTATCAAATATTTTTTAAGATCCTCACCATTACTAGTTAAATTCGCTCTGCTGACTGGACAAATATGCTAGGGAGTCCATCGGCGATAAAAGTACTAGTGAGTAGCCAATTTCATCCGGATTTTTGAACAGGTTTTCTTTTGCAGTGAATAGAGCCTCAGCATTGGTGCTCCGAATTAAGCAACAATCCACTGAACCATTTTATTACTACTCTTATCAAATATGATTCTTAATGACAGGATAAAATGTGTTATCAACGAAAAAACAAGTTCTATGAAGCTATAAAAACTCACCTATCAATTTGAATTTAACCAACTGAATTTAACAAAATGATGAAAAGTTATTATAGTTATAAATTTAAAGTTATAAATTATTATTAAACAACATCAAAAGTATAATTATTAAATTATTAAATTATTAAACAACAATAGACCTCGTCTGGATAGAAGAAACATTTAACCAACATTCGTAATGGATAAAGAAATAAAAAAAAATCAAGCTGATATGATATGAAGTGATGATTGATTAAAAGTGTTAAGAAAATTAATATTGATTTTAGAAGTTAATATTGAAGTTGATATTAATATTAATAACCAATTAATTATCAATATTGTCAACATATATTCGAGTAGAATAACATATTACAACAATATTCACTTCACGTAAAGAAACAAATCTGGAATTCATGAAATGTGGATTGCATGACTGATAATTTTTCGGACTTCATTTAAATCCTAATTGAATCAATTGAGTATTTCCCCATATGAATTGATAAATTCAGAAGAATTTGAAAAGAATTTGAACTTTTTTAATGATTATTCATAATTTTCACGATGACGATTTTAGTAATTTCCTAATGATTTTTGGTGTTAAATAGAAATTTTCTTAAAATTTTTGTTAATCGCTAAAGCTAAAGTATAATTGTTATCAATGTTATTGTTGTTATCATAAGCCAAAATAAAATACAAACGTTATCAGCATTATTGTTTTTGTCATATCTTTACGATATGAAAATCAATGTTATTTATTTTAGAAAATCAAAATTAAAAAATAAAATCTAAAATTCAATTCTATGTAATATTAAAATTAAAAAAAAAAGATTCCTATTTTATAGAAAATTCTTTCAAAAATTCTTCGCATAATTAACTATGAGGCACTTTTTATTTTTGTTTTTTTACTATTATTTATTTTTTCTAAGTTCGAAAAAAGAAAATTTGCCATAATTTGCTTTCATTCTGTCAAATTGATATATTAATGAGAAGTTTTTCGTTTTTCGTTTTCGCTTTTTAAAGCTGTGCGTAAACATTTCGCTATTAAATTATTGAAATATCTTTATGCCACAAAAAGAGATTTTTGATCACTTAAAACCATTATTTATGCGTGAAGAAAAATGCGTATTTATGAAAAAAATATAAAAAAATAAAATTTTCAAAAATTTTCCCAAAAATTCGATTACGAATAAAAGGTTATTTATGCACATATATAGAATGGCTCAGTGGGTTGTTGCTCAGTTCTGAGTGTCGATGCTGAGGTTCGATTCCCTGCAGGAATAAATCAACATTCCACCGCCAAGGTACTCGCTCCGCGGCATATTGCCCAATGCGATAAGCCAGCGGAGTTTAACTGGTAGTGGTGAGGACTCTTTAAAAAAAATATATGCAAATGTATCATTGTAATATTTTAGAAATATCTGAAAAAATTTATACATTTTTTTAAACAGTAATAGAGTTATTTTGTGATAAACAAGTTTGGTGATAAATTAAATTGATTAAGTTGATAAAACAATTTTCATCTGATATTGTTTGAAAATAAGAACAATGAAAGTTAGTGCGATAAATATTGATCAAAAAGAAGGTGATTAACTAGTTCTTTAAGGAAATAACATTTAAATTTAAATTGCAATTGTGATAAAAAATTTTCGATCCTAAAAATAGTCGAAAAATTTCTTTAATTTATGAGAAAAAATTGTTATCCTCAATTTTGATCTCAACAAATCGTTTCGATGGAAGAGTTTAGTTATTAGACTATTTAGAAATAAAGCGATCATCGTAAAATAATATTTATTGCTAATTATTTCTATATCAATAAATAAATAAATTTAAAGAAATCTACTCGTCTCATGAATATGTTTTTTCGCATTCATGATTTATGAACATAAATTAAAAATCATCGATAATTTTCGAATTTTATTAGATCAAAATTGCGCTTTAAACTCGTAATTTTTTAAAATAATTTTACAAAAAAAATACAATGAAGAAAAAATATTTTATAAAAAAAACCAAAAAAAAATCTTCATGAAATATTTATCAAATATTTTTAAATATTCCTATCTAATCTAATTCTTTTATTTTTTTCTTGGATTAATAACGGTGTAATAAAAAGCTTAAAAAATATTTTTTCGTTTCGATTAAGAACTAGTTTTCGTTAATTGCAAACGAAATTTTTCAACAACAGTTATTCTTTCAAATGAAAATTTTCAAAGAATTAAAACAAGTCTTTCATATCTTCAATTTTTATCTTTTTTTCAAAAAAAAATTATCATATTTCTAAAGAAATAAAAAAAAATTAAAAATACGACGCGTGAGAGTTATGGAAAACGTATGAAAAAAAGTGGTATGATAAGAGTGATAAACTTACGGAAATATCAATGCCTCCTTGCTTAACCATGTACAGCTGTCCCCTTTTGGCATTTAATTGGTTATTTCTTGGCTTGATGTTATGCCACAAATTTGATGCGAAGAAAAAATTTCAACTTAGCTAGAATTAATAAAATTTTTATTAATATTAAATAAATAATAATAAATAAATCAATCTTGTCGGCTTTTTTCATTTAATAATAATATAATAACAATAATAATAATAATAATAATAATAATAATAATAATAATAATAATAATAATAATAATAATAATAGTGACCAGAGAAGCGAATCGCGACGAAAAATAAATAAATTTTTTTTAACCTGTCAAGAAATATTGAATTTTAATAAAAATTTGGCAAATTACTTTAATTAAGTAGTAAGTAGTTTTTTAAAATATTCTAATAGAAAATTTAGGAAATTCGGCAGATAAAGTAAAAAATCATTTGATTAGAAATGATTATTTTCAACAATGTTAAAAATTGTGAGAAATATATAAAAATTCAAATTTACTTTAAAAAAGAATTTTAACCGAAAAATTATGGTCAATCTTCGCATATAAAGTGTATTCTTGCAAAATAGATTCTTGAAAAAAATGAAGAAAAAAAAGAAATGTCGATTTTCTTATAAAAATTCTGGACAAATAAAATTTCAATGATTAAAAATGACAATTACAATTTTGTTCATTCGCTAATGATGAATAAAATTTATGTAAAATGATGAAAAAAATTCGAAGAAAAAATTTAAAAATTAGACGAAATTTTTCTACAAAATAGTTGCAATAAATAGTTTAAAGCCTGAATTTTTTAAGAAATTCTATATAAACAGGATTTTTTTTTCTTCTTTTGATAGCAATCACCATATTTAATTTTGGTTGGTTCCATTCGCTATATGGAGATATAATAATCTTCATTGAAGATATGAGAAGAGAGAATCGCTAGGGAATATGACAAGGAGATTTATTGGATTTCATGCT